AATTTGCCTGTTTGCATGTCTTCTAATGGAATACAGTTCAAGATATGTCAATGAATTGGTAACTGGTAATGGTTCTTCAGAACCCTCCTTTGCCAGAATGTCTGTCATTTCATTCCTCCATATGTCAACATTGGAAGGAATCCACTGAAGGTGCACTTTACAGAGTGACGAGACCCGCTTAAGCTTGCTAAGAATTGCAATTCCTGCCCTATCACCAACTCTTCGTCAGTTTGAAAGATATTGGATGGCGCTACGACTGTCAGACAAAAATCATACTACCTTAAGATCTGTAAAGGTCAAAACAGCGATTAGTCCCTCTTCGATGGCTATAAGCTCACTCTTAAAAACCGAACTGAAGTCAGAATTTCTTTTCTTTATTTTAACAATATTTTCATTTGTGCATGTAATGACAACTCCACTATCGGAACGAGAGACTTCGCTTTTACTCCCATCAGTATAGATAAGGGTAGCTTCAGCGGGAATTGCGTGTAAGATTTTTAAGGCAGATTGTCGTAACAGGGTCGGAATATCATTTTTCTTGGAAACTCGAGACGAAAGTTCCATATGAAACTTGACTCTAGGGAGTATCTCAGACAAATCTAAACATTGTTTCAAGGAATGCTGGTCAACATTACGATCAATTATAACAGCATACTCAATTTGACTAAGTGGGCTATTTTTCTTATTACTCCAGTGCTGCAGGAATTCTGAAGTCCTATTTTGGGAGCCATAACTGAAAAGTTTATTATAATATTTTTGCAAGGCCAGCATTTCTTCTTAGGCTAAGGGGTTGAAGGTCTGTTTCATACAACGCAATTTTATTCAAGCAACTGTTGCACAAGCCAGTTATAATACGAGAAGCACTAAGTTGGGCTATTTCCAATTTCTGGAGTTTGGTAGAAGAGGCACAACAGTAAACGGGGAAACCATATTCCAAAATAGGTCGTATGATAACTGAATAAGTAGTTCTCAAGGTGCAAGCATTGACTTCCCAATCACGTTCCGAGATATACTTTAAAATGTCCCGATATATACTTTAAAATTTTCTGCCCCTAAAAAACCAGTGCATCCACATGTTTGTTACTAGAATCTCTGGATCGAGATAGAATCTCTATCTCTGGATCGAGAACGAAGCCCAAATATTTGGGATGTTTGTCATACGTAAGAGACAAGTTATTCATAAAACTTTTGGATGATAATTATAAAACTTCTTATTGGTGGTAAAAAAAAAAAAAAAAAATTAACAATAGATTTAGTTGGATTAAAACTCAATTTGTGGTCTTTCGAGAACTTCCACACTCCACACTTTCTCAAGGATAAAATTTATATTTGTCTCAGTTGAACTCGCATCTGAGCCTGAGCTTCAAAGGGCGATATCCGCAAATAGCCCAACCTCACATCCCCTTGATATAATCTTCTCAATTCCAGCCAAATACAGACAGAAAAGAATTGGGCTCAATACAGAACCCTGGGGGGTGCCTTTTTTGCCATTAGTGACTAAACTGATTCATTTAGTTACAAATCTCACTAGTAAATTTAGGTAAGCAGCAAGTTCCTTCTAAAATTGATGTCATTCTTAGGAAGTGAGCAGGAGAAGAAGCAATTATTGATCAAGCAACGTGATAAGGAAGTACGTATTTGAAAAAGAGGTTTTAGAAGAACTTGGTTAAGATCTTGAAGAACTTTTTTAGAAGATGTAGATACCTCTAATGTTTCACTAACAGAAAGACTGTGGAATGATCTTGCAGAATTTGAAAGTCTTCTTTCTACACCGTATATAGCCACAAAAAAGCTGCAATCTAAGGAATTGACAGGAGGCGAGAATGGAAGATTGGGATGTTTGTTCTTTTGGAAATGGAGGGTTTATTGCAGAGGGAATCATTTCTACAATAAAGAAAAGGGAAACTTTTAACTGCATATTTTTATTTAATCCAATTAGCAGATCATTTTCCTTTTAGATGAAACTCTCTAAATTACATATCCATAGTGATTTTAACTAAGTGTGATTGAATTTAAACTTTCTGCTTCATCATTATTTCTAACAAAGGAAGGAAAGATGGACAGAGCAGCACAGAGTCTTGTAGCAGCGCTATTAGGAAGCAGTCTGACTGAAAGATGGCGTGTACTCAGTATTTATAGTAGCGGTTGCGTAATAGGCTAGCATATTCTAGAAGGTACTGGTCTAGGGGGAAGATCCTAAATTGCAGAAAGTTAATTAAAGGTTGCTGGTTCGCAAATAGCAAAGCCTTCGTACTTTTTTATATTTTACATCTATGTAAGTACGAATATGTGTGTGTATATACATACACACATATATGCACACATGCATACGTTTATACATTTCTGAATCCTGTCTTGATAACAGATAAAGGTTGAGAAAAGAAGTAAGCTGTCCTGCTATTGTGTAGTATTCAGTTCTTCTAGGAGCATTTTTTCTTCGAATTTTCTGCATGCTCACATTTTATGTTAATTTTTCTTTGAGTTAGTGGCTCTTGTCTATAACAAATGATTTATGCTCTAACTTCTACTGATATTGATGAGTTCAACCGTTGGAAACTGATAGTTTGGATACGTCAGATTGCAGCCTACCATGTAAAAAGCGTGCTGAATCATTACAGAACTAATTGAAAAGGAAGCTAGCTGTAAAAATTTGATCATCACAATGAACAAGAGCTTATTTATTTAATTCAGAAACTAAATTTGTGGTAATCCGCCAAAGCTATGGGCATTCAATATTTGCCGTCATATGTGAATTCTTTCTGAAGTAAATATCGTTCATATTGTAACGAAATGTACAGGCACGGTAAGATGACTTTCCCGTAAAGCAGTTTTAAGGTTGCCGTAAGATAGCAAAGGAATGCAGGGTTGCCACATTTGGCGAGAAATCGCTCATTTGGCGACAAAATTGGCGATATACCATGGACGGTTGGAGAACCCTTCTGGAACCAATTCTTACCGGTTTAGCCCAGAATGTTCTCGAACACAAGCCGAAAGCTATATAAACCCTGCTGGCTCGCAGTTAGTGAGAGAGTGTGCCTTGTCTAAAGTGTGAGTTAAGTTAGTATCAAGTATGTGCCTCGTCTAGCGAGCTGATAGTCGGTCATTGAGCGAGTGTCTCGAAGCCTAGCACTGAGTTGGTCATCGTGTGCATCGAAGAATCTCTTAGTGCATCGTCGAGAGAGCGTGTTGAGCTCCGGGAACGACTGAACCGAAGAGTCGGGAGTTGTAGCGTGGAGAGTCTCGAAAGTACGTGGACTTCCAAGAACGACCGAGCAGAGTCGGGAGCTGTACTGTGGTGCTTTGCAGTGAAGCTGTCTCCACTGTTATAGCCTGATAACCTGAAGGCTGTGTCGCTGATTGTGTCAGCGTGTTTATAACAGTTTGACGGCTGTAAACGAGATGATTAACCTGATTAATACCGGCCAATAAAGTGTGTTTCGATACTTCATCAAGTCTTGTCGTTATTCACTCCAAATCCACACAAACCCCATATGAACGGGAAGGAAGAAAATAACGTAACAACTGGTTCAAAAGTGGGATTTGTGGGTGAAGGCCAGTGACAAGACCAATGGAAGATCTATTAAGACAGCTTGTGACTGCTTTTGCTGAATTCCAAGAAAAGATGGAAACTGGGCAGGAGAAGTTGAAAGCCGGATATGCTGAGATAAAAGCTGGATATAAAGAGATGACAGCTGAGATCAAAGCCGGACTAGAAGAGAAGAAAGGCCGACGAGAAGAGATAAATGGCGGCCAAGAAAATGTGTGAGAACAACTCCAACAGTTGAAAGTAGAGCTTGCAGAAGAAACTGGAGCGATAAAAGATGATGCCGTGCTCTGTGTGTCGTCGGGTGTATCGCAAGCTGTAGCATGGAGCATCTCAAGAGTACATGGAGTTCTGAGAACGACCAAGCAGAGTCGGGAGCTGTACTCTAGTGCTTTGCAGTGAAGCTGTCTCCACTGTTATAGCCTAAAGGCTGTGTCGCTGATTGTGTCAGCGTGTTTGTAGTAGTTCTTCGATGACTGTAACGTGTTTTGAAGCTGTCCTGACAATACTGGCTAATAAAGTGTGTTTCGATACTTCGTCAAGTAGTGTCGTCATTATACACTCCAAATCTGCATGAACCGTGAAGAAAAACTGAACAATATGAACGTTTCATAGTGCATTCCAATTCATGAAAATGTGTGCAAGAATTAGAAATGGCTGAAATGAGCGCATGAAAATCAATAATTGAGTTTCATATATCCAAAATCTGTTTGCTAACTGAATATGGCATTCTTATTTTCATTCTTTACATTTAGTAATTTAGCATGTTACTCCCATTCTAATAGAATCTCTCCCCCCCCATCTGGCAAGTAGGGCTTAATTTCTGGCTAGTAAGCTAAACCTTTCTCTCTCTTCTTTTAGCAATTAGTCATTTTTTGATTAGGCAACCATGAAAGTTTGTTAAGTACTGATAATAAGATTACTGAAGATAATACTTAAGATACTCCAATAAATTTGAAAGGTACTCTGAGAATCATGTTATTAATGTAACTTTTAAATCTTGCATTAATAAAATTTATTTTCTTTCTCATTTTGAAATTTTAAAAGTAAATTGTCCTATATCAAAATAAGATGAAATGTATCGCAAGTTTCAGTTGAAAAAAGAATAAGCTATTTTATATATAATAATTGATAATGATGTATGTTTTAAATTTTTGTAGAGTTATTAACCCCTTAACTGCCGCGGGCGTATATATACGCCTTGCTCGGCCGATGCGTTAACTGCCCCAGGCGTATATATACGTCCTTCCAAACTGCTATCATTTGCTTTGCGCTGCTACACCTAAAATTATTTGCAAAGTTAACGCATCGGCTGCGCATCTGGGGCAGTTAACGCATCGGCTGAGCAAGGCGTGTATATACGCCCGCAGCAGTTAAGGGGTTAAAGTATTTTAAAATTTTTCTATGGAATTCATGTAAAAACAATCCATTAAAATTTAACATAATTTTATTTTCTTCCTATTATTGTATCTAGATGGCGAGAATTGATGTCAAAGATTCTGGTCCTATTGTAAATCTTCCAAATGGAGATCTTGCATCTTCTATTTCTAAAACCAGTAGGCTTTCTTTAAAAAGGTTGAAAGACTTTTCTCCAAAACTCTACAAGGAAGAAAATAATTATGATCATCATGACATGGAGTGCAGTGTTACTGAACCAAAAGATATTGACCAGATTGAAATATGTGGAATACAGGATGAAAATGCTTCTCCAAATTGTTCTGTTGCAATAACAGATCTTAAACCTGCATTTAATCCCAGTGTTGTTGAGTCATCTGATATTAGTGAGATCAAAGTGACTCCTGTAGGTTTACCAAATGGTGGTAACACGTGCTATGTCAACAGCATTTTGCAAGTTCTACGATATACTCCAAATTTCCTGAATTGTCTTCATTCGTTGTTAATGACTAGACACTATTATAAACAGGTATGGACTGAAATTTTGAATTTATGAAAAAAGTTAGAAATATATAGAAATATTTTATTTATAGATAATATATTAGTCAGCACAGCAATTAGCACATACGCTTTCTGATTTTTTGTGTGTAATATCCACATACATATTTATTACAGTTGTTGCAAATATTAGAAGTTTTGTTACCTTTGCATTACCTTACTTGACATTTCTTCCTCTTTTTTGATTCTATTGAATCTTGTCCATCCACAAGCCATTTGAAGAGAGAACAAATTTGTTTCTGCTAGATATATATTCTTTAGTTCTGCCAAACACAATAGAAAATCTCTTCTGCTGATATTTTCTTTTGTAACTTCCTTATACAGAATCCACGCAATTATGCCTGCTAAGTCAAAAATATTGTAGAATACATGTACTGATCAACGGCGTGATGATGCTTTCACGGAGTTGATGTGATTTCACGTGATGATGCTTTCATTCTTGTCATTTGATCCAAAACATCTATCCTGAATTTTGTATAATTTTAAAACTGTATTACATGAGAAACCTTCTTTTCATTACATTCAAATTCAACTGATGAATGAAGTGTGCTTAACAAAATTACGTTTTTGCTCCTTTTACCTTGATATGATGTGAGCGTTATATAGTTGTGTTTCATCACAACTGAAGAAAAAAATCACAAGATGTTTCATCTCCATCTTTATCTGTAGAATTATTTTCAATTTCAAAACCGGAATAGGCATCAGATAGTTCTTGCATCAGTTTCACGATTTCTTCATGCGTTGGTCCTTTTCTACTCACCATTAGTACGTCACTATAATAAATTCATGTAAATAGAATTAAATTTTCCACTAAAACTTGTTATGGATAATAAACAAAATATCTATGAAAAATCTACAAATGTTCAGCTCGTAATAATCTCTTTTCTCTCCACAAAGAAAAGTATTGCACATATTCATGTGACTGGCAGACGTGAAACTATTAAACCTCTGCAGACCCACCATGTCTTTTCCTTTGTTTGTATTTTGTTTAGCTGATGCAAATAAAAAAAATTACAGAAGTAGCAGTGTTCAAATAATACAATGGAATGTATTCACATTTCGTATCTCTCAAAGGGGTCAAAATGACACCTGCCGTATTTCTAGGTATAATCATTTGTTAGGGCTAAAATAAAAATATGATTTTCCTGAAATCTTTACTATTTCGTAAATCGCGATGATTTAGGAAAAGTCGAGAAAAGATTAAGATATTTGCGAAAAAAAAAAAAGAAGAACTGTCGGAGATAAAAGTTTGCTAGGTGTCAAAATGACCCCTTCCGTAATTCTAGTGTTAAATTTGAAAATAAGATACGAGATTTGACTGATATAATCAGTGCTATATTAGTAATCATTCCTGTTCTTGGAAGCATGTTGATTAAAGAATTGATATATTAAAAAACTGGGAAAGAGTCATCTTGTTTCCATTTTACTACTAATAATATGTTCAGATTCAGTAGATTTATCAAGTGTTATATGAAGAACACTTTCATAGTAACCACCTGCTGCAAATGAACAGTATTTCTATTTCTAAGAGGCTAGAAAAATACTGAAATTGATATTTTTAATATTACTTGAAAGTATCACTTATTAACTTAATGAAAACCATAAAGTATTTGTTAAGATGATTGCTGAAAATGTTATTTAAAATGTCTAAATTTTGTTGTAGACTAAATTTTGTTGTCAAAAATTAGACTTTTTTGCAATTCTTATTACAACAGTAAAATTTTCAGTTATTATTTCACATTTTTATTTCAAGAGTAAAATTGTTTTCATGGTAATTTAATTAATTCTTATTTTATTTATTTCAAAATCAATAACATTTTTCCATATGTAATTTAGCATATAGGCTTGATTTGACAGTTATGCTCTAGCATTCTTTAAATAATTCATTGCATTTTAAAACTTTTTATACTGATTTTACATTTTCTATCAATGCGGCTGATAACATATTACAAATGGGTTATCTATTTTATTTCTGTAACGATGGCTAAAAAAGTCTTATTTTTAACAAAATGGTTGGTTTGCTTTATAAAGTCCACTTTTTTTTTTTTTTTTTTTAAGTTACCAAACGATTGAGCAATAGAAAATCAAGCACATGTAATTCCAAATTCAATGCATTATATATTTAAAAAGCAGTTTTGTACTTTTGATTAAAAATTAATATTTTTGAATATTTTTTCTCTTTATCTATAAGGTCTGTTTTATTTAGAATGTTTTTTCAAGCTTATTCTTTACTTATTTTTGTAATTCATTCATAAATTTATTTATAACATTGTTAATAAGTTAATAAATAAAAGTTCTGTTCAATATTTTTATTTTATAAATTCCAAGACCTTTAAGTAGCATAAATCCATTCTGAAAATCGATAAAAAGGCATCTGTCTCTTAAATCATCTGGAATCATGATTTGTCATTTTAAAGAGAATTTGCTTAATTTAATTACAGTTTAAGGTAAAAATGATAAAGTGTTAATTGATTTATAACTAATTAATTGAATTAAACTTTGATACAGAGGTTGTCTGTACATCTTTTAGACGATTTTCATTGTATGTATAGAAATATTTAAATTTTTTAGTCCAAAGGGATTTGAATCCCGAAGGACTATTAGTTTCGTTTTGGCATTTTGCGTCGGACTCATAAATGTTGGTTCACTTTTCAAACTGTTGCCACAAAATGTTAGAGTCCTGCATTATATTTGAAGAAATTAAATAATGAAAAATCTGCATAAATGTATGTATATTTCTCGTATTGTGATAAAACAACAGTACATAGAGTCATCGAATTTTGAATAACGTAATCCTCCAACGAATATGAGCATGTGGAAGACAAATTTGAAATTTGTTTTATGATCGCATTTCCTATTTTTTAAAAACTTTGACGAATTCTTGATTAACAACTCAAGGATTTCAAAGCGAGCAATGGCAACATTGTGCAGAAAAACATTTTATCTCCAGCGCGTGAGTCTCTGTATCGGAAATTCTAAAGATATGCTCGTTTTAAAACTATTTTGTGATATTGCTGGTTGCACTGGATCTTATGGTTTAAGTGCGAGGAACATGATATTTAATAAGAAAGGTAACACACAAAATGTTAAAAAACGCCCTTTGGAATAATTTAAAATCTGAAACATTTCATTTTTTTTTTTTTTTTTTTTTTTTTTTGTATTTTAAATGTTCTATTTGATAACCCTTATTCTTTACTATCTCTCTACACTGCTATTTCCATGACAATAAAGCCTTTTGTTGCATCCGAAGAGGTATTTTATCCCTTTCCCCTGAAAAGCTGTCCAAAGTCCAAGGGAGGTTGTAAGTCAGTGTTTGGACAAACTGCTTTTTAAAAGTGCAAAAGCCCAAAAATCCATGGGTGATATATCAGGAGATTTAGTATGGATATTGGTTTGATACCCAATTCTTGTTCCAGGAAATTAACAGTGGATTTGACGTGGCTGCTTGCTTTGCTATTTTTAGTTTGATGTTATATGAAAAATCAGTAGCAATCGTAAATTTCTTTGAGAAACATTCTTTAGATTCTTTGAATGATGTTTTACAATTTTTTCCCAGCTTTGATAATAATAAATGGATCTTATTTTATTGCAGTGATTTAAATCCACTCAAGAATCATCTATTGTGACAACATTTTCCCATTTTTGTGTGGATAAATGTTTCTCATAAGGAATACCACAGCGCATTCTTGGTTTGATTATATGTTGTGGAGAAAGACGATGCACATAATGTTTTTTTCCCTTTTTAAGATTCAAATCTGCAAGAAAACTATCTATTCTTGTTTAAAAAAATTATTTATGATTTGATTATGTTTTGGCTTTTGATTATTTTAGATAGTTTAATGGTGCTGATTAAAATCATTGTATTAATATAAATCACTAATTTATATTTTGTTTTAGTTATTTTTAAAAATTTTGTGTAAAAGTATAAAAATAGAGAAAAGTAATTTAGATGAAATTGCACATGAGATTTTGAATTTCTTAAAATCGTAATTTCCTTTATTGAGGATGAATACTTGCATAAAAGGCAATTTGTATGAATGTAGTAAATGCTGGACCAAGTCAAGGGCAATTATGTAAAAAAATAATTTTTTAACTGAAACTTGCAGTCTTTCATTGTCAGGCCGAGAACTTTTCACCTTACTCTTGTAATGCTCCAAACAAGCTACACTATTTACTTTAAATTGATTAAAGATTTCTGTTTATTTAGACTGTTGACACTGAGCATGTTGATGGTTTTGCAACTGTCACCACCCCTCACTTTTTTTTTACTTGGTGGATGTTATTCTAACATTAAAAATACATTATTTATTTTATTTTAACATTAAAGATCTTACTTTTGCAGTATTCAAAACTTTGTTTTCCCTTTGATATGTGTTTGGAACAATTTTTCCACTTGAAGCCAAACTTTGACATTTCCCCCCTTTGTTGACAATAGTACTTATTGTAGATTTATATCTACAAAACCCATGGCTATGAAGCATTTTTAATTACTAGATATGAATAATTTTCTTTGGAAAGAGCACAAACATAACCTTCCATTCATTGCTCCTTTAAAAGCACCATTTTACATGAAAGCAAATTTGTCAAGTAGCAGATGGTTTGTTAATAGCAAAGCAAAATTGTCTTAAAAATGTTATGACAGCCTCTGTATAATCTTTGTATATGAACTTAGATCCTGTATTTTTTAACTTACAAGGGTAAGGTGAAAAGTTCTTGGCCTGACCAAGAGATGGCACTCCAATCAACAAAAATGTATGTTTCCTGCCTGGGTGCAGGTGTCATTAGTTCATATGACAAGTTTCAACTTGTTCTCTCAAGCAGTTTGTTTACATGAATTTTTGCAGTAGACGTCTTTTCATGTTATTCGTTAAAATGGATAAAACTTGAATATCATGCAGTCATAAAATTCTTCATTTAGAATGGATTAAGCCCTAAGAAATTCATCCGAAGTTGACAAGGGGTTACAGGGAC